CAAAATGAATTCTACTAATAATTGACGAGATTCTTCATATTCTTCTTCTTTTTTCAATTGTTGATTTTTAATTGCATTTTGTATATCTAATTGGTTTAAAGATTTTCATTATCTATTTTTTTCTCATTTAGTTTATATACCTTATGAATTCGTGCAAGATGACTAATTAAATTAGAACCATCATTATAAGAAACACCACATTCTTTACCATCATGCATAATAACAGCACATGTAGATGTAATTAAGTTTTCTGAACGATGAAAGTAACGTTACACAAAACTACCTCCTTTTGGCATCTCACTTTCAGGTATTGAACTTGTAACAATAATAATATCACTTTTATTTTTTCGTCTTTATTATATGCTTCCTCTTGTTCCTGTTGTACAACTTTTTTCCTTATATTGGCTATTGCTTTTGTTCGTCTTTTTAATTTTTTTGTTGATTTTTTTTTATTAAAATGTTGTAATTTACAAGGAAGTTGAAGTATTTCGGTATTTGAACACTTTAATCCCTCTTGCTCCTCATATTCCTCTTCAGTTCTTTCATTTTCACTTGGAATATAAATATATTCATAATTATCAAAATTTCTAGAGGAACGCTTTCTATTTAAGTTTGAAAGTCCCGCATGACTGCTCATTATTCTTGAAGTTAGAAAGACCGAAGATCATTTGTTATTTATCAAATGTTATTTTAACTAATTTTTAACCAGGATTTCCCGATTTTATGAAACATTTATTCAATTGAAATTAATAAGGCTAGATTGCCAATGTAAAAATTTCAGTGCGATAATTCATGATATTATTTTTATTTCGGATAAACAAATTAAAGTTGTACATGATAAATCGTTTGTGTTTAAATTAATTAATTGCTTTGGAATTCCTTAAGAAAAATATAAATAATTAAAATTTCATTTATTAATTTTAAACCATAAATATGCATGTATAATAGCATCGAAATTTTGAAATGACCCGTGATCTACCTTTATTTTATTAATTACAATATGAAATTTGAACAAAAATACCTGGTATTTATTTTTAATGTAAAAAATAATTATTTTATAAATACATTTTATATAATTATAAATTTATTTTCTAAACTCTAAATATTTGAGTTACTACGCATTTTCAATTAATTATTAAGAATTACTTCGTAACTAATTTTTATAAAATGTTAATATCTTGAGTGTAGAAAGTACTCGAGTAATTTAATTAGTTAATTTGAGTAAGAATTCGAGTAGTGAACTCAAGTATATATAATTTGAGTCTACTCGAATTCTTACTCGAATCAAGATTCAAGTCTATGAAATTTTGACTCGAATCAAAATTTAACTTGAGTTGACTTGAGTTACACAAATATGAGTCCAGTCTCTAACCCAGATACAATTGATTTTTTAAATTTATTTCATTATTTTAATAAAGTTTCGAGTGCTAATAAAATTTTTACATTTGAAAGTAAGTATAACAATGGAATTATAACTAAAATATTATCATTTAACATTATTTGAATAAATACTCAGCAAAGCCAGATTCAAATGCCAATATCATACTTGAGGGTAAATATTAATTCATATACTAAAAATTAATAAATTAGAGCCAGTTTCAAAGTGTTTCGATTGCCAGTAAAATTTTTACAATCGAAGGTAAACATGATAATACAAATTATTATTGCAAATACACCATTAGGCTGGGCAAAAAAAATTTTAGATTCTCGTGACATAAAATTTTAAAATTGACACGGTCACCCAGTTTTTTTTATATATAAAATTTTTTATATGTATTTTATATTATGTTTTGTATTATGCAAATAGTAAGGTAAATGAAGGATATTACTATTATTGTAGAGTTTTATATAATAGTTTCTGATAAAAAAAACACGTGCTAAGAATATCAAGTTTCAAATAACAAAAAAATTACGAAAATAGTATGTTAAATTTTTTTATAATAAAGTATATGCTATTACGATTTTTCATTATATAAAGTCACGTGATAAAAATTTTACTAAAAAAAATCGAAAAATTGAGGCGGTCGAGTTATGAGAATCTGAAAAATTTTTTTGCCCGGCCTTATATAATTCTCAATATTTTATTTTATAAATATGTAAAATAAAAAAATTCAGGATTAAAAGGTATCATTTATCAATTATATTATATTGTTTTTGAAATAAAATCAGTTAAGGTAATTATAATATTAACTAATGTTCATTAACCAATAATCATTTTTATATTAATAAATTTGTAATATATAAAAGAATAAAATAGCATGATACTTAATATGTCAATGATTGGATGATATTCTAAAATCTTTAATTTTTTCATTAGAGCCAGTTTCAGATGTTAAAAAGACTTCCTCATTAGAAGGTAATTATTCTCATTTTTGTTTGCTAAAAATTAAATTTTGTCAAATTCGAATATAGAATCAATTTCAATTGATGAAGATAAATACAACAATTTCTATAAATAATTAACCAATACTAAAATGAATTTGTTAATTATATTTTATAATATAGTACTAACCTTGAATAATAAAGGTAAATATAATAATAACCATAGTATTATAATTTGTCATTTATATTTTTATTTATTAAAAATTTAATAATCTTAAATATAATACTAGTATCAAGTGATAAAGGTAAATACAATAACAAATATAATTAATCAACAAATAATAAAATATTAATTATGCTCAATAATTATTCAAATATTAAAAAAATTAAATAGTACAGTATATTTATAAATTTTCTAAATATTAAATTTTGCTATAAATATATTAATTAATTTCAAAATTTCTTAAAAATAAATAAATTATAATAGAATCAATTTTAGATACTTCTACATTAAATGAATAAACTTTATTTATCTATTATTTATTTATATAATTATTTAATAATTGATATTTTTTTTAAAAAAAAAATTAATGACTGTAATACTTAGATTGTAAACCATTTAATTTTTATTATATTTTAATTTATACATTTTAAATTTAGTTAAACTATTATTCAAAAAAATATTTAATAATCAATAATACTATAGGAAATAAATTATTTATTTTTTATATTTTAACTTAAATTTAATTTATTATATAAAAATTTTTAATGATTATTAATTATATTTTAGTTATTAAATTATTTATATATAATATTTATTTATAAATAAAATTTATATTAAAAATAAAATATTAATAATTTAGATGGTAGATTATTTTTATTTATTCAATTAATTATATTTATTATAATTTAAAAATATTCTTTATAATATTACAGAAAGTAAAATATTAATATTTGTATTAAAATTTAAAGTTTACTAAGTTATTTATTTAAAAAATAATTAATAATTAATAATTTATATTATAAGTTATTTTATTAATTATTAATGTTTAATTATACTTATTACTGTAATTTAAAATTAACTAAATTTTTATCTAAATTAATAAATTTTATTAAGGAGTAAGTTATTTTTATTGATTATTAGTATTTAATTATACTTATTATTATAATTTAAAATTAATTAAATATTTATTTAAAAAAATAATTAATAATTAATATAATATGTGATAAGTTATTTTTATTAATTAGCAGTATTTAATTATACTTATTATTGTAATTTAAATTAACTAAACTTTTTATTTAAAAAATAATTAATAATTAATATAATAGATTGTAAGTTATTTTTTTTGATTATCAGTATTTAATTACACTTGTTACTGTAATTTAAAGTCAATTAAATTTTTTATTTAAAAAAATAAATTAAAAATATAATAGATGGTAAGTTATTTTTATTGATTATCAGTATTTAATTATACTTGTTACTGTAATTTAAAGTCAACTAACTTTTTTATTTAAAACAATTATTAATAATTAATATAATAGTTAGTAAGTTATTTTTATTAATTATTAGTATTTAATTATATTTATTATATAATTTAAAGTTAATTAAATTTTTATTTAAAATAATTAATAATTAATATAATAGATAATAAATTATATTTATTTTAATTATACTTATTACTAAATTTTAATTTAATTAAATATTTTATTTAAAAAAATAATTAATAATTAATATAATAGTTGATAAGTTATCTTTATTATTTAATTATATATTACTATAATTTAAAATTAACTAAATTTTTTTATTTAAAAAAAATAATTTTTATTAGCTTATAAGTTATTTTTATTGATTATTAGTATTTAATTAAACTTATTACTGTAATTTAAAACTAATTAAATTTTTTATTTAAAAAAATAAATTTTATTAGCTTATAAGTTATTATTAGTATTTAATTATAGTTTTACAGTAATTAAAATCAACTAAGTTTTTATTTAAAAAAACAAATTTTAATAGTAAGTTATTTTATATTGATTATTAATATATATAATTTATATTATTAATATAAATTATTATTATTATATATTTAATAAATATATTTAATAAGAAAATATTATATTTTTTAATAATAAAATAATAATTATAATATTAATACTATAAAATTATTATTTAGAATAAAGGATTTATTCATATTATAATAAAAATAATATAGAATATAAATGGTATAAAGAATGTTATTCTAATTTATTTCAACAAAGTTTTTTTTAATTAAACTAGTAATAATAAATTTATTGAATTTATTCAAATATTTAAATAAATGTTTAAACTAAAAAGTAATTATTAGAATAGATTCTATATAATAAATTGGAAAATATTGAGTATCATGATAAAGAAGGATTTAATATTATATATAAAGTAACTTAGACTGATAGTTTTATTATATCTTATAAATTTAAAAGCAAAAATGAATTAAAAATGGTAGTACTAGTATAATTCTTAAAAGTTTTAATAAATCATCATATCTAAATAAAGAATTTTTAAATGGGTATAAATTAATAATTATATTTATTTTAAATAATAATGTTTAAATTAATTTATTTTTATTTTAGTGAAAACATCATTATAAATGTTATAGTTAATTAAAAATATATTCAGATAAAAATTTTATTTAATTATATGGATTTATTCAAGATTCAAATATTTTAAATTATATGATAATAATAAAATATGCAGAAAATAATAATTTGAGAAAAAATTTATCAAATATAATTAAAAATAAATGGATTATTAAATTATTACAATTATAAGTATTATTAATAGACTTGAAAAAATACATAAAAGAATTTTATTTATTGTAATTTGCATCAAAATAATATTTTAAATATTAGAGATAATATTTTAACTATTAGTGATTTAGGATTATGTAAACCTGTAAATTATTTTCAAACATCTAAAAAAATAAAATTTATCATAGCTATATTTATTTTCTTTTATTAAATATCTCTTTCTTATAATTGTATTTTATATAAATATCCAATATCGTCACCTTGACAAAGGAACAAGTTTCTATTATACAATTAATAACGTATAATCTTACAACATAAAAACTATATCTTTGCCAATATCTATTTCTTTAAATATAAATCATCAATAATGATGACCTGACCATTCAACTTAAATCAATTTGTGTTTATTTCTTTCATAGTTTAATGTCTTAAACTACCTGTTAGCAAATAAGCTTTGTTATTCTAATGATGTAGTGTTTAGGCTTACACTATTAAATATTAAACATTAATATTTAATTTTATATTTACATATAATAGCATTCCAGTTATATATTAATTCATCAAGGTGCAATTAAACTAGCAGACTTTGATCTATCGAAAAGAATTGATGAAGCAACTAACCAGTCAATAATTTTGGTATCATTCTTTATATGGATTCTAAAATTTTGTGGATGGAGAAAAAATAACAATACATCACAAAAATATATGTTAAATGAAAAAAGTGACATTTACAGTATTAGTGTTCTATTATGGGAGATATCAAGTGGTAACCCTCTTTTTTATGTGATTTAGCTATAGAAATCTTACAAGGACTCAGAGAAAGTGTTATTCCTGGTACGCTTGAAGATTATGTAAACATTTATATTGATAAATAAAATTTTACTAAATTTAAAAATTCAAATAAAAATTTTTTTTTTGATAATTAAATTATTTATATGATTGTAGAATGCTAGGATAATGAGCCAGACAATCATCCAGTTATGAACAAGGTAGTTGATAAATTAAATGCAATTATTGCAAAAATAAATATAATAGTACATAATCAAATTAATAATGAAGAATCAAGTCTTCAATTTTCTGAACAACAACCTTATTCAAGTATTAATAATATATTAAATGGAGGATTATCTCAGATAATTCAAAATTTTAATCAAATGAATTCAGATGAATTAGAATCGAATAATGAAGCATTTGCCATTATTTACGATGATACGATTGATAGTTTAACGATTATGGAACTTAATATATTAAACACCCTAGGAGGATTACATAGATTTCAAAATTAAAAGTACTCGTCTGTAATAATACTCAATTAACTTGCTTAGCTTACCAACTTTACCAGATTCCTTAACGAAAACTCTGTTGCTTTGATACACAAATAAATAGCTTACCAAATTTACCCAATTCCTTGATGGATATCAAACCTTGATCTTTAAATACTCAATACTCTATAAAATCTACCTGATTTCTGCCTGAATATCTCTATTAATAACTTCTACATATTATAAATCTATTAAGCTTTCTTAGTATATAGACATTTCGTAATGTTATTTTAATTTAAGAATTAGTGTTTGCATTCAAATTAAAGGATTATTTTTTCCTTTTTTATCCTCTTAGCATTACATTTTAATATATCATTTCAAATAAATTGTGGATTTTGATATTTATGATAGTTTTATCAATGTAATTAAATAAGAACTTATCCTTTCTCCCATTATATATATTTTTCTGTTTTTTAAAAAAATATAGTATAGATTTGACCCAACATTATAAATAAAAAACATTTTATCAAAAACATTATGCTTAAAACACGCTGATATTCAGGTTATCGATTATATGTAGCTTGATAAACTGATTTGGATAATTGTTTATATAAGCTATTTTGAGCACTTTATTCTTTAAGGTCAACCACTTCAAAAAAATAATTGTCTTTTACAATGAGAATAACTAGATTCATGATCATGGCCGGCCAGGGGCCGGCCTTAATATTCGAAAGTAACAAATGTATTTCATTTAATTTTATAAATATCAATAAAGATTATTTATTTCCAATTTTGAACTTGTTTTCGAACGGAACAGTCCGGTTGACTAAAATTCTTATTTTTTTTTAATTTTGATTTATTTATTTATATATTTTTTTTAATATTTAATTTATTCTTTTATTTTTTTAGGTTCGATCGGTTCCTCCACTTAGGCTAGGAACCTTCGAACGAAGGCGGAGGTAAGCTGTCAAAGTTATTTTCTTTTATTTTTTTTTAGTTTATATTTTATATATTTATTTTTTTTTTTAATATTTAATTTATTCTTTTATTTTTTTTAGGTTCGATCGGTTTCTCTCTCCACTTAGGCTAGGAACCGGACGGAACCTTCGAACGGAACCGACCGATTCGTTACCGCAGCCGTTTATTTTTTTTTTTTATTTAGTTTATATATTTATTTTTTTTTTTAATATTTAATTTATTCTTTTATTTTTTTTTTAGGTTCGATTGGTTTCTCTCTACACTTAGGCTAGGAACCGAACGGAACCTTCGAACGTAACCGTCCGATTCGTTACCGCGGCGAAGGTAAGCCGTTTATTTTATTTTTTTTATTTAGTTTATATATTTAAATTTTTTTTAATATTAAATTTATTCTTTTATTTTTTTTTATGTTTGATCGGTTTCTACTTAACAACAGTCCCCATTCCCTAGTTGGTTAAAATAGTTTTTATAAGTTGTTGAAGTTGGAATTCAGATAAACAAAAAGGGTGTCTGACAATTAATTCCAACTTCAGATGAAAATCAATTTCAGTCACAACAATAATATAGACAGTTATATAATCTTCAAATTCGATGTTCACAAGGTTCAAAACAAAAACCGATTAAAATATTGATGAAGATCTGTACAAACCAAAAAAAAAAAAATTAAGCAAAAAAAAGTGAATAAATGCAGAAATGATTATTAAAAATTCGCAAGAACCAAAAATATATTTATCTATTACGAAGGTCTCATAATTAAAAAATATTAAAGATTGTTAATAGTGTAATTATGGAGAAAATTAAGACTTTAACATTTCTCTGTCTAAATTATTATACTTTATAATTTGATAATTCAACAAACTCATTTATTCAAATTCATGTTGAACTTGATAATTAAAAAATGAATTTTAAAGCTCTGAGTCGTTCAATTTAAAATTTCAGAAATTCGCTATTTATTTTAATAGCTTAATAATCAATATTGAGAATGCACTTTTGCAATCGAATAATTTCTTTTAATACAATCTAAATCATAAATGGAGAGAATTTATCAGTGGGTACCGAAATTTATAATAGTGATGTTTAAAAAAATTAACAGAATGACGAAAATAATCCAGGACCATTGAAGATCGACACAACATACGAAAAAGCCGCCAAAATTTGAGATTTTGAAAAGTTTTATAAACTTACGTTAAAAAAAATTTTTTGTGATAAATAAAAAAAGATAAAGGCGATATCTTGTAAATAAACAAAATTTTGTTTTATTATTTCGCTGTTTTTAGTTTCTGCCGACGTACAATGTTACACTAAATTAAATGCGCATTGCGAATGTTTGTTTTCAGCAATGTATTACAACGTTAATTATCAAAATATTCTATTTTTGTGTAAAATTAATTTTTTACTGTAATTAACTTTAATTCTTTAAATTATGTCAAAGAATAATTACATACACATCGTATCATGGGTTTTAATTCAATTACTGATTAAAATAAATTGCCAAAATGTGCTTTTCAAGCCAACAAAACGATCCAGTCATACGTCCACACTTATTGATGGTAATTTGTATATCTTAGGTGGTCGAGATGAACTGTTTACTAGAAGAATCGGAAAAGAATTTTTTTATTTAGACGTCACTGTCCCATTTAATACTCAAAATATATTATGGCATGATTTAACAAGCATTAATACAGTTCCAGCACATATGGCTGCTGCATCCGTTAAAGGTGGTGTACATAATAACACCTTGTTTTTATATGTAGGAATTCCTTATGATAATACTGAAGCAATGGCTTTAATTTATGCATTTGATACTCGAAGTTATTCATGGGGTATTCCAAAAATGTCTGATGTCACTATTGGCAGAAAAGATAACTTAAAAGGCATTGTTGATGATAACGGGAAAATGTATTTGTTTGGTGGACATACTAGCGTTGATGATTATCGAAATGATATGATAATTTTCGATACATTAAATTTAGATTGGAAAATAGGAAGTTCAATTAACGCGCCTTCTCCAAGAGCTGTTTTTGGTTCAACCCTCATCTCCGATCATTTAATTATTTATATTGGTAAGCAAATAATTTTTATAACATTTTACAATCCGTTAACAATTTCCTTGTTTATAAAATTATTGTTATTTAGGTGGCATTGATAATCTTGCTTTATCGTTAAATGAGGTGAATTTTAAATGAAATAATTAGAAATTGAGAGTTTATATATTTAACAATCAATGAAACTTTAGGTATACATATATGATACGATTAATGATAATTGGAGCACAAAGGTAAGTTCGCTTTATAAAGATTTCTAACAGCTGATAAACTCATATTAGATTTTACGTTAGATAACTTCAGGGACAATACCTTCCAACAGAAATTCCTTTTCTGCTGTTCTTGGTAGGTATTATATTATGTAACGTCATAACATAATTATTTTAAATTTTAATTAATTATGATAAATAAATTCTTCTAATAAAGGATTGGATGGACAACGAGTCATAATTTTCGGAGGGGCAAAGGAATACGAAAATCTTCAATCTCAGAATGCGCTTTACGTATTAAATTTAATAAATTACGAGTGGTACATTCCAAAAATTTCTGGAAAAATTCCGAGTCCCAGACGTTGGCATGAAGCGAACGTAATTGGAAAATATATGGTTGTATCATTTGGTATGTATACGAGTGTGTCAATTTGATCATAAAATATTAAAAATGGTTGAATGTTACATAAGAATTAATTTATATACTAAACTAAATAGGTCGAGGTTATGAAGATAATGATATTTTATTGCTTGATATTAGTAATAATGAAGAATATATATGGACAGACAGTTTTGATCCAACATTTCCAATAATTAGTCCTTCTCCAAAAACTCCATCAACTGATCCTTCAAAAGTGCAACCAAACGCTTCTCCAACACAAACAACGCAATTACAAGTACCAATTGTGATTGGTATAGCGATAGGATCATTATCTGTTGGATTTTTTTTAGCACTCGGTGTATTTTTTTTATATAGATGGAATAAAAATAGAAGAGAAAGTGAAAAGGCAATACCAACTACTGAAATTGAAGAAGGTAATGAAGTGGTAATAATTCCTACTCAAAAGATTAATAATTATGAGCAAGGAATGATTCCAAATACACCAGCTTATAATAGCGCTTACTACCATGAGCAGAACATACTATCCATACCAGGGAATACTTATGGACAACAAATGTTACCAATCTCTCAAAACAATTATAATATTTATAATCAAAATAATCATGAACAGGTATTACAAAATTCTAGAAAAGTTTATAATCATGGAAGTGAAACTTATCCAGGCGCCAAAATTCAAGGATAATTACAGAATATTGGAAAATATTATAAATGACGTTCTTCATATGGTTAGACAAGAGATCAAAAAAAATCTAGTAAATAGTAAATAAGCTCCTATATTTAAATATTTATTATTATTATTTTTTTTTGAATTAGAATAAAACTGCTGCGTTGGCGTTGGCGTTGGATTTAATAAAAATTATAAGTATCAAGTTAATTTTCATAAGTTTTGATATTAATCGATTAAATTATAGACCAATTAAAATTTAAATGATTTATCCAACAATAGTGAAACCTAATAATATCTTCTCGAATTCTCGAATAAAATAAATAATATTTTTTTTCTATTAATATTGATATCAATATCAATATAAAAACGGCCCCCATAGTTCCTGTATGAAGATAACTAAATTTATACCTATACCTTCCTTTTTTAGAATGGCCATAACTTACACTATATAAAGTGAAATCACCTGACACTAATATCCATATGGCATAAACTGTTTATAGTGTTAAAGATTAATGATGAACAATTCTACAAATAGTACTACAAATCTTTTACATCAGGTGGCCTTTAACTGTTCAATCTATTAACATTTGTTGTAGAACTGCAAGTATCCTGACAAGCCACAACAGCATCACTTCTGGCAGCAATGACAAAATGTCAACAAACGCTACCTCATATGATGTCTCAAATAATACTGACGATTATTATATCTTTAGAACCTCCTACGCTTTAGTCGTCATTCCATCATCATTATCTTATTCACATATAACGAAATCTAAGAATGAAATTTTAAAACAATGTCCTCCTTCCAAAGCACTAACAAACATTCTTTTTAATTTCGCTCTAATTAAATATCACTTCATATAATCGAGATTTATTTACAGAAAAAGAAGCTGAATTTTTACTAGAGATACTTAACACAAAATCGATTCGATATGAGTGATATTTCTGTTACACTAAATTTATGAAATTGTCGATCACCTTTCGCGCATACAATAAATAAAAATCAATAAAAAATTTCCCTCCAGATATATAATAAAAATAGACAAATATGTTATATTTTATTATAATAAATCTAAAAATCGATAGTGTAGATAATTAATTAGTAAATTAAGATTTATTTGTATTTAACAAATTCAATAAATAAACTTTTTTTTATTATTAAAGCTTTATGAAATTTATTATTAATCAAAAAAGTCCGTGGTAACGTTGCGCCACATAAATTTACAAAAATAATATATTGTATATAAATTCTGAGTAAAACTTATTAGAATAATATAAACCTAAAATTGTTAAATTTAAAATCGGTGGGTCAAAACGGTCGGTGGGTCACCGATCCCTAATTTTCGAGGATTTTTTTTTGAGAAATTCGGAATCATAGATTCACTTAAGTTTATTCTTCCGGGTAAAAAAAGGTAAGATCGTGATATAAAGAAAAAAAATTAATAATAAATTTAAAGTATAGAGAAAATCGAAATAATAAAAAATTTAATAAAAGTATTAGTATTTTAAATTTTTTTTTTTTTTTTAAAAAAAAAAAAATATCTAATGAATGAAATCATTTTGATAAAAATTTTTGATTCGAATATTTTATTTTACGAAAAATGAATGTTATAAATAAGATATTAGCAAAAATATGAAATGCATGACATATTAATTGAAATTTTGTGATATGCTTTGAAAGGATATGCATTTCTAAGATTCTCTGTCATGTAATAGCACACGTTTTTCAAGAAAACAGTAAAAATTTCACATATTAGCAATATTAAAATAAAACTTTTCTAATTCCCAATACTTAAAGCTGAAAAAGTTTAATATTTATTATATTTAAAAAAAAATTTAGTTTTGATAAATTAAATGTAAAATTTGATAGTAGTAAATCTAATTCATTAATTGCAATCATCATACCATCCATTATCTGCTGGAGGGGCACAATTGTAAGAGTTGCGACCATCTGGAAATGCAGAACATCGGATAGTCGATTCATTTACGCAATCTCCTGAATTTATACTCCAACCGTTTACATTATTTTGACAGAAATCATCATGGTTAACGAAATTCTTAATATATCTATGATATCGGGTTTATACACAATTGTTGTAATGAATTAGCTGACCAGTCAAATGTACCACGTTGTTGACAAACAGGCACGCCTCCCGCAACATAAAGTTGTGCCAAACAGCATTTACCACAGAGATCTTGATTTACGTGGTTGCAATAGGTAAGGCCATAATGTCTAAACTACCAAAATTAACTAATTCGATGGGCATAAAAGGTGCTGCAAGCCAATAAGTTGAAGGTGTGAATACATCAATATCTCCATTAACCATATCGGGTAATTTTGCAATAATACTATTCAAATAAGAATCTTTATCTTGACCAAAATTTTTAAAAGCATTTTTCTTTGTACTAATGGCATCAAAAGGGACTTTGTAGTAAAAATCTGTTAAATATACAGTTCGTTCTAATGAGGCTCCATTTTTATCAATAAAAGTTGGTTGATCTATTAAAAAAAAAAATTTTTTTGAGAATATACTATTATTTTTTCTTTAAAAAAAAAAAATATCATCTACTTGACAACAGTATACACATACCAGAAACCGAGTCAACAAAAATTGTTCCTACTTTGAGATAATTCAAATTAAAATGACCAGTTAATAACTGTAGTGTGCCAGAAAGATCATAAGAAATTGAGTCATCCGGTGCATGATTATGGAATGGAGCAAAATCAATTAGATGATTAATAATACCAAGAGAATATTTAATTCCTTGGTAGTGGTTCTGATAAAAGGTAAAAGCATTATCTATTGTTGCAACTATAGATAAAGCAGCAGGTTTTTGTCCACTATATGGCCATCGAACCCCATCATTTTCATAATCAAAATATGTTCCAGCATCATACATTAGATCGGAATAAGCATAGAGACAATTCAAATTATTTTTATCATCTTTGCTAGTTATTTCGGTGTTGCTGTCTATGTTGTAATTATTTTTACAATAATGCATAGCAAGGTTAAAGGAAAAAGGATAATCCGGATTAGGAGTATTTCCAACACTCAAAACTTTGGCGTCCATATCAACGTGCCACGTGTATGATTCGTCCGCACAGGTATAAGGAATCTGTTTACTAGCAACTGGCTTAACTTTCCTTGTAGAATTATCTACTTTTAGGTCAAATGACCAACCACAATTTGGTTGACAACCGTACATAGTGAAATTGAGTACAAACCCATCTGAGGTTTGATTATAGGATTCTATTTTCTTGACCTTTGTAGAATTGGTATAAAAATGTGCGTCGTGCTCGTTGATGTGGATTACATCATCGGTAAAAGTGATTTCGCATACTTAATAGGATAAACCTACGGTAATCCAAGCATGAACCGATGAAATAATGGTTAAAATCAGAAAAGACAATGTTATGAATGTTTTACTCTGCATTTTTTTAACAAGTGGATTTGAATATATTGAACGAAAAAAAAATCTCTGTTGAAAAATTACATTTATATATAAAAAATTTGGTACATCGACATTCATTAAAATTAAACATATTCCTAAATTTTGAATAGTCGGAAACGTTTATGTATACCATTTACCTTTTTTTATTCCTTTTTGCTTTATTATATTTTTAAAAACTTTCTCATTTCACTCTTGCACTGTCAGACATTGTTATAATTTAAAAGAAAGCTTGATTCATTGTCATACATTTACAATATGTTGATCATGGAGTTAAATTCATCTATTTTAACCGGCCATTAACTGATTAACATGTTAACCGTTTTAACCGGTTAACCGTTTAAAAATTAACCGGTTCCGATCTCTAATTTACGTGCCTTCGTTCATGAGTGTTTTACAAACCCTGTTGTAGTTTAGTAGTATATAAAAAAACCATACCATACTACTATTATACATACGTTCCTAAACCATTACTTTAACTGGTTTGTGTAACACACATGAATGATTAAGAAATTAATTGAATGCAAATTATTTATCGCTCATTTAATAATTAAAAAATTTTGTGAAGATACGTCTAGAAATAACTTCCAAATCCACATTTTTTAATGAGGTAGAGGATTTTCTTTTCTTTTCCTTTCGGATCTTTTTTTCGTATCCTTAACAAAAAATTGATTCGATATGCTGCGGTAAAGGCTTTGAACTTTTTTTTATTTTTATTTTTATTCTGATTATTGCTTAATAAAGGTTCAAGTACAATATTTTCTAAAATTTATTTCGATCGCAAAAAAAAAAAAAAAAAAATTAAAACCTTTAAAAAAACAATTAACATTCACCAAAAAAAAAACTTTATACATTATGCGAAGTCTCGTATGATACGCTCCTATATTTAGTCTTTGTATAGAAAATCTATAATTAATGCAAACAAATATTTACAAATATTTTTCACTCTTTTCTTTATCAGGTTGGATCGCTTCCACAGTCATTACTACCTTAATTAACAAAAGAATAATCCCAATACATTATTGTGTTCTTCAATTTGTATTTATTGAATAAAACAAACTCTCACAACTTTCTTGGCTCATATTGATGAATATTGTTTGTAGAAAATCCATTTTAATATGCAATTTTTGAATCATTTGATAAATATGATTCTTATCATATAGAAATCTAAATTTACTTGTCGTGTAACGGTAAAAAATCCAATTAAATATAATCGAATTTTTTAAAGATAAAATTTATTAAAATAAGAAATTTTTTTTTATAAACTTGTCCTTAAAGTTAAGCTTTTTTTACAACTTGTCTCTCGTACAATATTTTTTTCCCTGATTTCTGATACTTTTTTTTTAACGATGAAACATTTCGAAACCATCGAAACCGAAGGTTTCGACTTTTTCCAAAATGAAATTAGCACGCAACCGTAAGTTGTCCGATATTCCAGCTACTGAAAAAGACCGTACATATAGTAAAGTATACATTTTTGGAAACACTTCTCTGAGACATATTCTTGTCCGGATACTTTTGTCCGGGCGGTGTATATTTCCGGGTCTTCCGCCATCTGTACTTCA